AAATAAACGCGAGTGTTTAGGGTTTGTGGTCATAAGTTCCTCAAAATAAAAGTATTAAAATGTAATTGAAGAAGGATATGAATGAAAATTTTTTTTAATAGAAATAAGAAGACATGCACTATAAACACTGTAGACTGCAGAATCTGCTAATTATGGTTCCTTTTCTGCATATATGCACTTCTCATTTTTCTTATTAAAAACACTTTTTCTCTAGTACCATTCATTATCATAAAATAATTTTTGTTATAATTTTATTTTAAATGTAGTTTTTTAACAACAACAGACACCTAAATTTAGAAACTAAGCACGATTGGAAACACATGTAATTTGACAAGGATTGTAAAAAATCTCATCTATGCACATCCCTAACTTTTAGATGGTTTTTAATAAAATACCTAGTTGACTAATTTAGAGAGACTGAGAAAGTTACTAAATTATTTCAAGGTATTTATATTTATTATTTTTTTAAACTAATTTAACTCATTTATAAATTGATATACAATACAATCTAATCCTATACATAAGTATTTTAAAAAAATTATGTAAAATATGTTACATTTAAATAATTTAGTATTTTATTAATCTTTCCAAATTAGTCGGCTAAGTTTTATAACAAGAAGCGAAGCTAGTATTCTTTTTTAACCTTTTTCACTTCTCAAAGAGAGTTGCATCATAAAACAGATTTACAGGGTGAAAAGAAAATGAAGAAGACTTTTGTGCAAAGTAAAAGACGATAGGAACAAAAGAATTTGATTACCCCCACTAGATTAAAAAAAAAAAGCTCCTTTATGTGCTCAATGCCATGCTGAGACACATCCCAACATTGTCCAATCATTTCATCTTCACTGTTCCCAGCAAATTATCATAATACAAGTCAAAGGAGTCACCTCAAATTATAGTAACCGACACAAAAAGCTTTTATTTTATTGTCCTGTGATCAAGGATACTTTCCAAGTTTGTTTGAACATGGTGAAAGAATCAAAGAATTGACAGAAAAATAGTATCAGTTTTTTTTTTTTTTTTGCCGATTAAGTTAATTTCTGTTGGACACTTTGAGCAAGGAGTAAAATTAAGGTGCTATAGTTATTATGAGGGCCTGTGATGGAAAGCACAAAATTTTACATGACATTATCAAGCAGGAAAATTTAAAACTAAAACCTGAACATGAAAATGGAAGCTGAAGAGCTTGAAGAAGTGAAGGAATCATCATTGATCAGTAACAACACTGTACCGATCTGCCGAGAATGGCATTTCCTGCTTTAACCTCAAATCTTGATATGTGGCTGTGTTGGATGATCCCATGGAAATATCAATCTCTATCAAATTTTCATCTTCATTCATCTCATTAATCTCTGCTAATAGCTCCATCAGACCTTCCTCCTTGAACATGGCTTCTGGTAGAAAATCTGGCAGCTTTGATTCTAATCTCTGGCTAAGTTCTTTACTCAAGCCAGAGAAATGGCTTCTCGGAAGGTTGATTTCAATCAAGTCGTCGTCGTCGTCGTCATCATCATCTTCTTCTTCTTCGTTGTCAGAGGCTAAGCTTTCATAGATTCCCAGAACTCCAGTACTATTCTGATCAAGCTCAAGACTTTCATCAGTTTCACCATTGATGCTTTCAGTTTCAGCATCTGATGGAAGTGATGTATTCTCAGCATTTTGCTCAAACTTTTCATCCATGGCTGACCCATTGGTACTTTCACTATCAGATGGGAAAGATGAATCTGACTGAGATTCAGCTTCTTGCTCATTAATCAGAGCAAGTTCTGTTCGTAACTCTTCTTTCTGCATCTTCTCCTGAGCAAGCCTGTCATCTTCAGACCCTTTGTTCTTTCTCAGTGTGACAACAAGAAAAAGTGTGGATAGAAGAACGATGGGTACAGTGAGAAGAACGGGCCAAGAAGATTCAGAAAGTGGGAAGAAAAGGAAGAGAGAAAAAAGAAAGAACAAAACCAGAATAGTCGAGAGTACTAATGAACCTAAACATGAACAAAGACTTGAGTGGCTTTGTTGTGGAATATTGCCTTCTTTCTCCATGACTATTCTCTGCAGAAAAAAAGCTCTGAGAATTTTTGGAAAAGAGCTTCACCAGCAAAAAGTTGAAAACTTTCAGAAAGGGCAAGATTAAAAAGAGCTTCACCAGCAAAAAGTTGAAAACTTTCAGAAAGGGCAAGATTAAAGGAGTGAACTTGCATTCGTCTCTTTAAAGAGCTGCTTCTTCTTCATCATCATCATGGAGATCATACCTGTGGTGGGTGATATTAATTTGGGTAATCTCCGCGAGAAAAAATAGGCACTGTTTCTCTCTCGGAGACAGTGAAGGCAATTTTGATTTCCATCAACGTTTCACAACCTCGAAGCCTCGAAGTTGGCGAATGCATGTGCGAGAGAGACAAAGCCTGAGTCCCCACAAAGCAGAGAGTTTTATAATACCAAGCCCTTCAGAACCAGAAAAGTCATCCCTCTTGCTCCTTCCTTCTGTTTCATCCACAACCAAACATAACCCGTTTTCAGAAACCCACCCTACCAAAATAATACCACCTTTTTCAAAGCTGGCATTGAACCTTTTTCCCAGGAAACAAACGTTAGTTCCAAAAGTTTCAGCTTTCTGTCGTATGTATATAAGTAATCACTCAGCTGAATTAGCACTAACCAACAAAAATGTATATAAGCTTAGTAATGCTTTCAAATTTGTCACCAGAATAATATTAAAGACCATCAAACCAAATGAACTAGCTTGAACATCACTTTTTATTATATTTCTTTCTGAACAGCAAAAATTATGTATTTAAGAAAAGTAGGGTTCTCACCCACCTGATCCAATAGGAGGGGCATTTATGTTTCTGCAAATTATGGCCCGGGGGGGGGGGGGTATAATGGAAACCCATTCTTCAAGATATGCCAAGGTTATAGCGACAGTGTCGGATGGTGTCCCATTCCTCTAGCGTTAAGCCTGGCAAACACATCACCTACACAAGGGCCATGACTTGCTTCGCAAAATGGTAACACAAGAAAAGGCATGAATGCCATTCACACAATCTGTCTCAATCTTATAATTAAATTTTGTAGTAAAAAAAGTCACCAACTTTTTCAATAAACGTTTCTTGAAATTTTACATATATAAGCAACTACTCAATGAGTTGAAGGAAATTTGCACAGGGTAATAATCTTTTTAAGCCAAAATATAAGAGCTGTTTGGAATTAAATTTGGTCATAAATAAAAAACCTTAATCTATTTTATCTTTTATATTTATTATTATTTTTTCAAATGAACTTACAAATTGATGTATAATCTAATGCTATTTATAAGTATTTTAGGAATATCATGTTATATTTCTTATAATACTTCTGATCCTTAATATAAGAGTCGATTTGACTTTCAATTTGATCCTAAATATAAGACTATAATTCACTTTGTCTCTCATATTTATTCATTTTTTTAAAATAGTCTTTGTAATAGTTACATATGTTAAAGATTTTATGGTAATTATAGTTAATACACATGACTAATAAGAGTATGTTAAGTAATACAACACCTATTTATTATAAATAAATAATTTAATAAAATTTCTTAATTTACTCAAATTAGTCAATTAGTTCTCATATTAAAAATAGGAAGTGGTAATTTACTAATTTATTCTGTCTTCTTAACCTACCAAATTAATATAAGAAGCTCTAAATAAGGACTCAATGAGTTGAAGCAAACTAAGGGGGAATTATTGCATTCACATTGCTGTATTAAATAGAGTTTATTTATCTTGAAAAGTGGCAATTAGGATTGCATTTTCTCAATTCGAAGTCAGTTTCTTCCCCCTCAAAATGTGAATCGATGCTAGTCAATTAAGTTAATTAAAATTATAAAGAAAATTAAATAACAACACAAATCATGTAAAGCAGAACAAATAAATAGTTGAGATCCCATTGATTAGGCACAACTTGATATTATACTAATAATGATGAGGGTGAGGTCCTTTTGTGGGTTGATGAGCTCATTTCTTGCGTAAAGGAATTGGATTATTGAGACATATAATCGCCTTGTTAATGATGAGCTCGTGCCCGTGAAGAACAAGAAATCATTGTTACCTGTCAAAAGAAATAAATCATTTTTATATGTTCATAAAACAATTTTTTTAGAAAAATAATGCTTATTTGATTTTAAATATAGAAGCTAATTAAATGGTTTATTTTGTTTCAAAATATTGTCTTCTAAATTTATAATTTTTTTAAACTATTTATATTGAGCTTCCATCAATGAATAATTTCAACACAAACGAGTTAAAAGAGTATTTTAGAGAAACTACTGCATATTTTAATAAATAACTAATTTAATTATTTTTACAAATTTAGCTTATAGGGACCAAAAGGATTACTAAAACTAACAGGAATCACAAAGAAAAGAGCCCTATTTATAAAATAAAATTTTAATTCACTTCTTTATAGATAACTATTTCACTCCATTTAAGCTTCCGTAAATAAAGTTAAATCGCATCTTCTAGTATATTAACTAAAGTGTGATAATTAAATTAAACAGCTTTTGTGAATGAGATAAAGTGGATATTAATGATATTTTTTTGGGGAACGAAGAACTGAATAAATAATGCTTATTGGTAAAAGATGAAATTCAAAAAAAAAATTATAGAGGATGAAATCAGACAATTCTTAACTTGTTGTGAGAGACAAAGTAAAAAAGTTAAGTATTTTGCTCCGTACAATTTTTTTTATCGATCACTTTCTTAATTATTTTCCGTTTAATTATATTTTTCTTTTTTTAGAAAATATTTTATATTACATGTCCTTTTTTAATTTCAAAATAAAATTTAATATTTTTAGATACATATTTAAATTTGTGTATAGTATTAATTAGTAACTTTAAATATAATTTTTTATTAAAATTAAAATTAATTAAATTTCATACCAACCATCCAAATCCAGTGGTCACCGCTTTAAGTTGCAAATCTTTACAGCGTCATCTAAAGCATAAACCCAGGCATGCCGCTTTAATTCTGCAATGACGAAACTACCCTTCATTGCTTGACTCCCTGCCATTCAATTCGCCCGTGAACATGAACACTGAAACCCTAGGGCTAGGGTTTAATTGTTCTTTCGATTCCCTGCATAAAGCAAGCATCTTTTTCACTGGCTTTGGGATTTTATAATTATTGTTATATTCTGCGATTCTCAATCTTTATTTATTGAGATTCGTTCTCGTGGATTTTGGTCTGATTGATCGCTCGGTCTTTGCTTCGGTTCGGACTTCATCGTCCTCTTGGGGCTCAAATCCATGGTCATCAGCCTACGATGGACCCGGTGCACCCGACTACGCCTCCAGTTGAGCATGAAGAAGATGAGTGGGGTACGGTATCTTCCTTCAATTTCCTTTTTTTTTTTTGGTTGCATCGATGGGGTCAGTAACAGAGTTGGGATGGATGAATATTTGATCGTCGTATTCTGATAAGTGTAATTTTTCATTTCTCAATTTGAATAGAACATAATTTAATACGCCAAGTTGTTTTGTTGGGTTTGCATTCTGTTGATTTTTATGGATTGTTAAATCTGGGCGGAATTCGTGTAATTCACACTGTAGATAGACTGTGAAATTCATTGTTAATCCTTTCTTGTGAGTTTGTGAATTTGTGAAGTATGAACATTTTTTCCTCTTATTACAGACAAACAGTTCCGTTTCATAATTCATAATATACTCGAATGCACATATCAGCAGTTCTCAATAGAGTTTCAATTTTGTTTTGGTATATATTTTCAAGATAACTAACTCGTCAAAGTCTATAACATTCTTGTGGTAATAGAAAACAAAAGAAAAATACTGGATACATTCAAAACCATGTTCGTCACTGCCCAGCCACACCCAGGTATATGTGAATACGCATAGCCTTGAAAGATTTGCCGCAGAATATGCAACTCCTACAGTTTACAGCCCTGAATATTCGCTACAGTATGAAATTGAACAGGGCTTTAGTTGTCAGTTTCTGACTTTGACTAGGAAGCTGGTTTGTTTCGGTTCCCTGTCAGATATGGTGCATTTTAACTCTGTCTAATGTGTTCGCCAAAAATAATAAAAGACTCCGTCTGATGTTTATAAGTCTCTTGTGCTAGACCGGGATGGCTTTGTTCGCCAGACACACACTTATCATCTGTGACTCTATTTGGTTGTAGACACTGATGGATTTGTGATTCCAAGTTTGGGAATTGGAAACTCAGATGAAAGCAGACCTTCTGCTCCTGTTATAGAATCCTCTAATTCTCCTGCACAGGTCAGCCGAAGCTCGTGTTGTTTCTAATTAAAGATGAATCATAAATTTGGAGCTGGTAGATGATCGAATTGGCTGGACACATTGTGTGATGCTTACTCTAATTGTTTCTGTGCAGCCTAAGAAGGAAGAGAACATTTATCTGGGACCTCACGGAGCGCCTCCATCTCACTCAAAACAGCAAGAACTAAACTCGTTGAGCCGAAAGCAGAGATTCAAGCAGAAATTGAAAGAAGCGGATAAGAAGACTAGTAGCGGGATGGGCAGGGAGAATAAGATAGATAATCTGAGAGAGCTTGTGGGTGGTGGTAGAGAAAGTAGGGGTATGGCAAAGGGGTCCCCAAAGGACTGGCTAGATCCGCATTGCCACGAATCTCAGTTTGAGAGGAGGTGACATAATGCTGTAATTGGAGGTATTATCTTTCTGTTTATTGAGCTGCTCTTGAAGAAGTTGCACTCTGTTTTATTGCCTGTTTTTTTTTTTTTTCCCTCCCTGGTAGAGTTTGATGATGCATTTCTGGCTGAAGTCTCGAATGTCATGTATCTTGACAATAATTTTACCACTTGACCTCTTAATAAGACATGAAGGTCTTGCTGTGGCTGTGGCCCATGATATCATCTACCTGTTTATTGAGGTACTGTTGGAGAAATTGCACTCTTTTTAATCGTCCTTTTTTTTTTTTTGGGGGGGTGGAGTTTGGTGATGCATTTCTTGCAAGAGTTTCCAAATTCATCTATCTTGGCAATGATTTGCACGCAAGTTTTCTATGTGAAGGTTATATGCTTACTTTGGCATTCCTATGTTAGAAAGTCCCTTTTTGTCATATAAGCTTTTGAACCATTGTGGTTGTCGAAGTTTAGTCCTCTGATTTAACCCTGTGATCATATCATACAAAATATAAAATGTACAAGGAATCTCACTATCCAGGAGTTGTGAATATTGAGGCTTTTGTTTGAAAATTATTATTCTTATTATCGGCTCTGTGCTTCTCTTTGCCCCTTCACTTTTTTGAGTAGCTCTTCAATTATTCTCCTCTCTTTTTCCTGGAGAATTTTAGCTGTTTTCTTGCAAACAAGGCCAACCACTGCCCCACCCCCACCCCCACCCCCCCCCAAAAAAAAAGGATATATCATTCAACCAAAGTAAATAATTAGAGGGCGTGGGGGCAAAGTTCCCAGCAGAGGAAAAAAGAGGGCATTCAACTTTGAAAATAAAGGCAAACAACTTTATCGGATCCAACTTTACCAATAAGATAACCTGAGTTAAGTTTATTGGGAGTGGTTCGTAAGTCATAACTATTCGATTCAGTAAGTGGGGAAGTTCTGCCGTGTCGGCATACAATATTCCCCGCTCTGAATCGAACGGCTGAAATTTACCAGGCTTACTTGATAGACAATCAATTCGTGATTTCAACGCTAAATTCACATATTATTAGTATTATAACGGATGGATGTCACATCGGTACTGGCAATATCCGGCGGGAAGATAACTCAATGTTGCGAAGCAAAATGAGTAGTGGGATCCTAATAACCAATATATATGTATACACACACACGCGCGTATGCATATACTCCTCCGGTCCTAATTATAAGACCCAATTGATTTATTTGAGGAGATTAAGGAAGTAAGTTAAGTTGGTTATTTATAATAAATAAATATTGTTATTCCTAAAATATCCTTGCTAATTAAGTATATTGGCTAAAACTATCATTATTAGAAGGATTATCTTAAAAAAAAATACATAAATATAAGAGAGAAAATGGATTGGGTCTTATAATTAGAACCAAATAAAAGTCAATTGGGTCTTATAATAAGGACCGGAGGAGTATAATAGAAGTGTGCAAGTTGTGATTATAATTACCAATATACTCCCTGCACCCTATTCACAAGAGACACTTTTTTGAAGGGATATGTTTTTTTTATTTTTTATAAGAGATATCTTGGAGATGTTTAAACATTTGATTTTTTTTTTTCATGTTTACTCTCAATTAATTACATATTTCCCGTATTATTTTTTCTTCCACATATTTTCTCATTCTTGTTTCACTTATTTTCTGTTCTACCCACATTTTTTTATAGATGAGGATGTTTTTGGAAAGTAAACTACTTTTTTTATACTTATTATTTTTATTTTTAATTAATTTTAATCATTTTTTGATTAATATAATTCAGTTAATCGTCTCGTATAATAAAAAATGGAGTGGAGGGGTTATAACTTTTCCATCATTTTCCTGAGATGCGACGTGTGTGTAAATTGTGGGACTTGTGTCGTGGAAGGTAGGTTTCAGGGGGGCAGACTAGAGATGAAAGGACTCTCCCCATATTTGTGTCTTCATCGGACGAAGCTAACACAGTGCAGTACAGGTCCTTGATTAAAGCCACAAAAAGGACCGTACCAAAAAAAAGGGGGCACAAAAAGGAGCGAAGGCCCAACAAATGGCTCGGTCTTTTCGGAGGCCTTTCTTTGTAACCCAGATTCAACGGGTTACATCACAAAACTAGCTAATTGGTCGGGACAAAACCAAATGTGAGGAAAGCATATACATATGTATATGTGTATGTAATGTATATATATGCGGTACAAAGTTTTCATAAATCTTGGAGGAGAGATTGAATAAATGAACGCTTATATAATATGATGGATCCTGCCCATCTAGAACACTTCATTCTGAAATATAAACGACTACAGCCAAATCATCACACTATATACGGAGAGATTGACGAAATGAGAAATACTAGAAAGAAACACAACCCAGAAGCTGCAATATTTTCGCTAAAAATTATATATATATATATATATATATATCGAGTCTAAAACAGCTTTTCAATTTTTGAACGGAAATGGCGCATGATAGCAAGAAATGGGAATGGCAAAGAGATCGGCATCAAGAGCAGAATGTCCAGCGAGAAGTTGGCAATCAAAATGGAGCAAAAGATTGGCAAGAGAGGTTCCAGGGCAAATCCTTCTTCCTGCTCCAAAAGGGATGAGCTCAAAGTTGAAGCCTTTGTAATCAATCTCAGAATCCGAAAACCTTTCTGGCAAAAATTCTTCGGCTCTTTCCCAACAAGTTGGGTCTCTCCCAATGGCCCAGGCATTCACAAACACCTGAGTTCTTGAGGGTATTGTGTAGCCATTAATCCCACAACTCTCACTGCTCTCTCTTGGAATCAACAATGGCTCTGGAGGATGTAGCCTCATCGTCTCCTTCAACACAGCCTTCATGTATTTGAGTTTCTCGAGTTCTTATTCTTCTTCATTCACATACCCTTTCTTCTTAAACACTTGCCTCGCTTCTTCTCAGCAATTCTGGGTTTCTCAGCAATTCCAGAATTACGTATTGTAACAGTGTCGATGATGTTTCAGTTCCAGCAACAAATACGTTCTGTAATTTATTTTGGAGAATCATGCAGAATATGAGAGCAGCTTATTGAACCATCAGCCATTGCAAAATTTTTTATCTTTTAATCACTTGTGTTGGAAAGTTTTTTTCCTCTTGTTTATTAAAGCTTATATTTTTTATTTTTAAAATGTATGGAATGTTTAAAACTTTGTTTAGTCATTAATTATTATTAAAGTTTTTTGGTTTTTCTCAATTATTGTAGGCTAAACAAATTCTCTAGTGCGCCATATGGTGCAAACATATATACACACACCCACATAGAATAAACGAAATGAAATAAAAAAATTATAAAATTTTAATAAAGGACCAAATGTCATTAATTAATCTGTCACTGATGATTCACAATTTCACATTACTGTTATTTTAAAAGTTGACACTAAAAAATTGACAGTAATAATTCAAACTTTTTTGGGAAAAAAAATTTAGAGAAGCCTAAGTGATGATAACTATCTAATTACTGTCTAGGGTTAAACTAAAGGCTGGTCTCGTTAGGCTTGGGTCTTCTTGATAAGAAAAACCACGTATAAGTTCTAAAAATTTATTTTGTTTTCTTTTTGATAACGAGAGTTACAATACTAAAAATTAAAAAGACTAAAAACCTGTTGAAATTCTAGAAAGCTTGAATTTTATGATTTTAAAATGCTGAGGGAGATAAATATGAATAAAAAAAATTAAAGTAGTAATTCTGAATTTTTTTCCCTCAATTTTGAAAGCATCAAGGGTTAGCTAAAAGGAAATACTTAGGCGCATGCACTATAATATTAATATATTATAGCTATATAATACTCCTCTGATCCTTAATATATGACCCAATTTTTGAGTTAGTTTTGATCCTAAATATAAGACCCATTTTTCATATTTATCAGTTTTCTCTAAATTACCTTTATGGATACTCCCTTAACTATAATCAATTAGAAGAGGGAGAGGAGGTATTAAGAAAGATGATTATGGCATTTTAGGAAAAAAGTGTCACTTTTCTTATAATTAACTAACTTACCTAACTTTTTTAATCTAATCAAATTAGCTAAATAGATCTTATACTCCTCCGGTCCTTATTATAAGACCCAATTTGACTTTTTATTTGGTCCTAATTATAAGACCCAATCCATTTTCTCTCTTATATTTATGCATTTTTTTTCCAAGATAATCCTTCTAATAATGATAGTTTTAGCCAATATACTTAATTAGCAAAGATATTTTAAGAATAACAACACTTATTTATTATAAATAACCAACTTAATTTACTTCCTTAATCTCCTCAAATAAGTCAATTGGGTCTTATAATTAGGACCGGAGGAGTATTAAGGAACGGAAGAGTATAAAACGTACAAGTTATATGTTACCAAAAAGGGGTACAAGTTTCACCAAAAAAAAAAAAAAGGGGTACAAGTTATGACGGCCCCAAAGCCAATTAAGTTGAAGAGGTTTGGAAAACCCGAAAGTTGCATGCAAAGTTTACCAAGATAACAGATTTCACGTTGTTGATTGTGAATGGAGATTTCCCATTGTGTCCTCTCAAATTCAAGAGATCATACGGAAGACTCTTATCTTCTCCTCTGTTAATACTCCTACATACTCCCTCGTCGATAAACTTCTGAAGAAGCACGTCACATTTCCGATGAATCTCCTCGAATCTCCGCCTCTCTCCGGTGATCACATGAAGCCATTTCTGTGAAGGAAATAAATCGCTCACACCGAAACCCTTTACACTATTCACCATCTCCTTCACAACCGAACTTAACGCCTTTTGATCTATGGATGTATCACCAAAAGCTCTTCTCGTAACAATTACGAACGTCAAGGCACGAATCTTCTTGCTCAGGTTTATTGCATACCCACTATTTATAGAAATGTCTCTTACGAATTTTCCCACTTCTGCTTACCTTATGGACTGGAATGACCTCACTCGTTTCGTACTGAACAGTCGGAGCGTGCATGGTTTCCTTATATGCTTCCAGTAGAGTCCGTATCGAGGAAACCCAATCTCACTGCAATTGTACAGTAGGATTTCTGCACTGAGAAGATTGGGTCTTTGAGCAAAAATGAGATCATGGGTTTTGAACACTTGTTTGGCAACTTCAGGGGAAGAAACCACTATGGTTGATCTTTCACCCAGTTTGAGATGCATGAGAGGGCCATACTTTTGGGCTAAGTTTCTAGGGTGACGTAGGGTTTATCATAGCCAATAACAAGATGGTGTATGCTTCCCGGAAAAGGCGGAAAAGGAAGATTCCATGGCCCCGGGGGA